AAAACAGGATTTGACATTCATTTTATTTTAATGAAAATTTCACATTAATTCGGATTTGAGTTCGAGCTGATATAGCCGGTGTATTCCTATTTTTGTTTCATGAATATGGAACCCTGTTCTTGGTTCTTTCGGTAAAGTCACGTAGAATGGAAACAATAAAAATAATAAAATAAAACATAATAACATAATTCTCACGACGTTTCGGCCACAACGCAAGCAGCCGTCATCAGGTGAAGACCAGGTCTGTCGGGGAGACAGCGTCAGACGCTGTCATCAGGTGACGGCTGCTTGCGTTGTGGCCGAAACGTGGTGAGAATTATTTTATAATGTTTTATTTTATTATTTTTTTTGTTTCCATTCTACGTGACTTTACCGAAAGAACCAAGTAGATAAATCCCTGCAGTCACGAAAGCTTTAAATCGAAATTTAATATGGAACCCCTTCAACTACTTGAGGCACCATGCTTTTGCTTAGAGTAGCTTATTCCGAGCGCCACACCAGTGATCCTCTCTCTGCCTCACCTACCGTGGTAACATTCCCTAAGGCGGTGCACGTGTGACGCTGTGACACACACACACACGCGCGCGCAACTCCCCACACCAAATTCAACAATACAAAAAAAAACACATCGTCATCATTATATTTGCACTGTATTCTTGCCTGCAGCAGCTGCTGCGACCTTTGCAAATACTCGCTTGCGCTGTCAACGATACCCCACTCCTTAATTTCTCACCCGGAAAGTAAGCGACGAAAACAACACGATTTAGTATAATTACAGCACTTTTCGTAAATGGCGCGTGCGTGAATCACAGGAGGAGGAGCGGTGGCGCAGTGGTTATGCGACTGCGTTGTGACCTTGGTTCTTATTCCCAGCAGTGCGTGAATCACAGGAGGAGGAGCGGTGGCGCAGTGGTTATGCGACTGCGTTGTGACCTTGGTTCTTATTCCCAGCAGTGCGTGAATCACAGGAGGATGGGCGGTGGCGCAGTGGTTATGCGACTGCGTTGTGACCTTGGTTCTTATTCCCAGCCGTCGTCAGGAGTTGATGATGTCTGAATCCGTACGGGTCACCGCCAACATGCACTGACCAGCGTGGTGAAGTATGGTCAAACAACCCCGCGTAACCGACCCCTGCCTTCACCCATTAGTGGATTGAGAGATCTGTGATAACAAAAAAACCCTCAATAAAATCATGAGCGTCGTTGTGTAAATAATAAATCACTTAGACGTACATGATATTGCACTGCATTATGTATTGTATAATTTACAAAAAGATTAAATGGTCTTCCCTTTGTCAATCCACTGCCAGATGAAGGCCTACACGTGCTCTGCCGGTCGGTCGTGGGAGTTGTTTGATCGTACTTCACCACGCTGGTTAATGCGAGTTCAATGCAGGGACCATATTTTACATGTACATCCTGAATGCCAAAAAAACAAACCATGACCACTTCTCCGCACCCAAACCCCTCGTGCTCAAACGAAAGCAGGGCAGTGCTGAACTGCTTTAGGTAAAACTGGGCCAATTATGGAAATTCCACATTGCCATGATGGGGACCAGTGCACCCATTCGGCACCAATTGCATTCGCTCAGTAATCACCGTATTTATATATAACAATATCCATGTACGGTAATTGCCCAAAACGTTAGTCCGTTGCAATACGTTTTACGAGTGGGTAATGATGATGATGCAGCACTGGGCAGATCATGGTTGGCGATGACGAAACTAATTTGTCCAATGCAGGGTAGATTCGTGCCGGCCATGCGGACTGCGTATGAGTTGCTGGGTGTCTGTCAATTAAGAACCAGTGGTTCTTAACATGGGCTGCGAGATGCCCTTTCTGGGGGTGCGAGACGTGCCAGATTAATTAGAAGGTAAATAATAATCGAAAGACAAATTACGCACGTACGTTACAACCACTTTGTTGCCTTACCACCATAGGCCTCTATGGAGATGGTGTCCTCAAGCTGCCCCTCACCAGTCTAACCGAGAAATTCAAGTGTGCAAAAACCAGGCTCCAGATGACACTGAATGAATCTCGAGACCCAGTGGTGAGCAACAACGCGCCGACCTTGGCAACTGGGCGCAAATGGAGGCCAGGAAAAGCAGTCCAGGAGGCAACAGCAGCCCTCAGACATGCTGACATTGTGGGTCATGTTCAGCAAGGGAGAGGAGGCCTTGGGCTAACTAGCCGTGCTGCTTGGAGTAAGGCCACTGCACCAGAGCGGCGGAAGATGGTAGTGCAGGAAGTACGCCATCAGGAGGAGGCTGCAAGGTGGGCCAAGGCAGTTTCTCTTGCCAAACAAGGACAGTGGACTCGATGGGACAGTGTGGAGAAGAGGAAGATCAGCTGGAAGGATCTGTGGGCCACGGAAGCGAGGCGGTTGAGCTTCTCCATCAGAGCAACATATGACATCCTTCCAACACCAGTTAATCTTCACCAATGGTATGGTGAAGATCCGGACTGTGCCCTCTGTTCCATGCCAGCCAACCTCAGGCACATTCTCACAGGGTGTAAAACAAGCCTCACCCAAGGACGCTACACTTGGCGTCACAACCAAGTCCTTAAAAACCTTGCGTCCGCCCTGGAGGACAAGCGAGCTGCCACCAACTCCCTACCACCCCCAGCAGCATCACACCCCTTACGGACGACCTTTGTCCGCGAAGGGGCTAAACTACCGAAGAGCGGCTCTACACCAATAGAGCGAGACCAGCTGCGCTTGGCCCGCGACTGGAAAATGCTAGCTGACATTGGCCGGCAACTTGTGTTTCCTCCGGAGATCGCAACCACCACCCTAAGACCTGACATGGTGCTCTGGTCCCGTTCGCTCAAGAAGGTCTTCATCATTGAGCTCACAGTACCCTGGGAGGACTCAGTAGATGAGGCTTATGAGCGAAAACATCTGCGCTATGCCGATCTAGCTGCCGAAGCACGGCATCATGGCTGGAACACAGAAGTCCGACCAGTGGAGGTGGGCTGCAGAGGTTTTGTGGCAACATCTACAACCAGACTGCTTAGAGACCTGGGAATTAAGGGCCAGAGCCAGCGTTCGGCAATCAAAGCTGTATCAGAGGCGGCAGAAGGCAGCAGTCAGTGGCTCTGGATGAAGAGGAAAGACCCCAGCTGGGCCCCAAAGTGAGAGGGCCAGGAGGTATGCAGTCAACAATGCTTGACTCAGGGAGGAGGACGCCCCTGCCATGCATAGTCCCATGGGATGTTGGCTACCAACAACAAGGCAACTCCTATGACTAATTGGGAATGGGACGCAAGCGTAGGATTGATCACCCTGTCGCTGGCCGCCTTTGGGGAGGGTGTATAGTATGAAAGGCCGAAACACCCTAGGAACCAAAGGGTCACTACTGACGATGCGCTCCCCAAATTTCACCAGGCTCACTGTTCATGAACTCTTGGAAGTGCTTGCACAAAGGATAGTAACATCTCATCCTGTGTTCTTTGGAATCTGAATTTGTTTCATCGAACCTCTGTATTTTTTAACATGTTATATTTTTTTACGATTAATAACCAAAGGGGTGCAAGGCTGCAGTACAGGTTTAAGAACCACTTGGTTTAAAGATCATTGAGAACGCATGAAAATTGAAGTGGGGGGTGGGTGGCTAGAATGTAAAGGGGAGGGGCTTGACGATAACGAGGCGGGGCTAGAGGGGTAAAGTGGGAGGGGCTAGAGGGTTAAGGGGAGGGGTTGAAGGGTTGAAAGTGGAGGGGGGGGGGTTGATTTTGGGGGGCATCGTCGTCATCATCAGCCACGATCAATCCACTGCTGGATGAAGGGGTTCGTGGGCGTGCGCGCGCGTCTCTCGACAATGAGCGTCGCTCCCAACCCCTCCCTGCCCCCACACACGGACAGCGCGGCGAACTAAATAATAAATAAACTATTCCGCGCGTTTCGGAGCATTCAATAATTAAACAATGCCCGCTCGCTCTCTCGACTGTACGTTATTGTGCGCGCGTGTCGGCGGATAGGCGGTGGCTGCAGTCTCGTTATTGTTCTGGTTAATTGTCATGCGTTCATTTCGTCGCGTTTAAGTCGCTCAACTCTTGGGTGGGTTGCGGTAGCTTTACTCAACTAGATAACGGCGACTGGAAAGAGTTAGGGGTGAGCTGATGTAGTACTGTATGGAAGTATATATATCATGTAGTAGTTCGTGTGTCTGTGTGGGGGGGGGGGGAGCGGTGGCGCAGCGGTTAGCGCGCCGCGCTACGAAACCGGCGACCCCAGTTCGATTTCCGCTCACGGGGTCAACGTCGGTGACGATTTTCTGAACCGGTTACTGGGGCCTCTCCTCCCCTAGGTCGACTCAACCTCAAATGAGTTAGCTGGTGCGGTGTGTAGCAAACAGCGCCACTGGGGAGACAAAGGCGGCCGGGCGTGGTGTTGGCCACCCCATCTCGTGTGCCGCGCCGGCCTTCATAGGTGCTCGCTGAGAGCACTTGCCCCTACAGGCTATACGGGGAATCTTTGTATTTGTATAGGGGGGAGGGGGAAGACAAAGGCGGCCGGGCGTGATGCTGACCACCCCACCTCGTGCGCTGTTCCGACACTTGCCCCAACACCCCGTGCAGGCTACACGGGGGATCTTTGTCTTTGTATAGGCGCGGTGTTTAGCGCACTGCGTAACGCACCCGGCGAATCCGCGGTTCGCTTCCCGCTCGCGGCTAACGTCAGTGGCGAGCCGATCATAAATCTTGTGCTGGGGGCTTAATAATAATGAGTGCGCTGTGTTAACAACAAAAAACCCTTATCAGCACGTGGGAGACAAAGACGGACGGGCGGGCGTGGTTTTAACCATACCACCGCCACCCTCATTTAATAGGCGCTCGCTAACCAGCACTCTCTGTAGGCTACACGGGGGTGAAGGGGGGGGGTCTTTGTCCTTTGTATGAGTGTGAGTGTGTGTCATATACTGTAGGGGTGTGGTGTGCGTGTGGTGGCCACTTTGGTGTTTGTGCGCTCCTGGGGCTCGTGGGGGGGTTAGGGTTTTAGTAGGGCTATCAGCGAGCCTACAGCTTATAGGGTTTTAGTAGGACTAGCGGCGAGCCTACAGCTTATAGGGTTTTAGTAGGGCTAGCGAGCCTACAGCTTATAGTCAACTACTCGCCAGGCGTGGTGGGGGGTTGCGTTTCGTGCTTTGCGTCTGCAGCCTGTGCTGGCGTGGAGGGGGAGCAGCCGCTGTGCAGGGTGATTATGATGATCCGGGCGCTGGCGAAGAGGCGAGCGATGCCGCTGGGGTCTTGTTAGCCTCGGGGCTAGAGTTGGGTCTGTAGGTGTTAGGGTGAGGAGGCCACATATCTTGATGTCGGGGTGTAGCGCTTGCCGGTTAAGGCTAGGTTCGGGGTTGCAGATCGGGTTAGAGCGTCTTGGTCGAGTTAGGGTTAGGTTCAGAGCTCGCAGTAGGAGATAGGATCCAGGGCGAGTACTGCACCCAGGAGTCATCGTTTATTTTCATGCGCACCCTTTTGGACATCCATCACTGAAGCAGTGCAATGTTGGCGTGACGGACTCGAGTGTGGACCTCATTCTACATCCGTCTATTGTCACGAATAAGCTGTCGCATGCTCTAGCCACTCTCCTTCCAGTACGGTTACTTCTGAAGATTTTTTTTTATCGGGATCCAGGTTCGATCCCGGGCTTACCCGGGGGGTCAGGAGGTCAACGTCAGCATCAGCATGGAGCCCCTGCACCCGGCCCAGGTGACCGTCCGCGCGGCCGCGGGTCGCTCCGTGAGGCCCTATCGCAGCGAGCTGGCCTACCTGCACGCCATGAAGGAGGACCTCGCCCAGTGGCTCAACGTCATCTTCTCCGACGTGGCCTTCGACGTCTCCGCCGACAACTTCACGGCCACCTTATCGGCCGGGTGGCCCCTCTGTCGCCTCGCCAACGCCGTGAGCCGCTGGGCCGCCGACTGTTCCCGTGCGCGGGATCCTGGGACAGGGCTCGAACCCAGGTCTCGGGGCCCATGGGTTGCCGTTGAGGGGTGTCCCCACAGAGCTTGCCCTCCCCGTGGCCTCGACCTCGTCCTCATCCTTTAGTACCATCTCGAGTTCCAACAACAACAACACCTTCCTAACCTCCGCCAACACCACCGGTTCGTCGCCCACTTCATCGTCGTCGTCGTCCTCTTCACTATTCTCATCGTCGTCGTCCTCTTGCAACTGGAAGAAAGGTCTGAATCAGAGGTCGTGGCGTAAAGACGAGGAGGTTGATGTTGAGGAGGAGGAAGAGGAGGAGGTGGTGGACCAGGACGATGTTGAGAGGTCCAACGGCGTCATGGAGCAGAGGGCCACTTTTGCCGCTCGAGATCGTGTGGCAACTTTCTTGGGCTGGTGCCGCTCGGAGCTTGGCGTTCCAGAACATCTCACCTTCGAGACCAACGACCTCATGGAAGTCGGGCGACAAGATCGGCGAGGGGGCGGCGAACGTCAGGTGGTCTTGTGCCTCCTGGAGGTGGCGAGACGAGGTGCCCGAATGGGAGGCCCTGCTCCCGAGCTGGTCATGTTGGAGAGGGACATCGAGGTGGCCGAGGCTCTGGCCGCTGGCCACGAGGTCCCAGTGGTCGGAGTCGGGGTCGGGGCGACAACGAGACCAAGGAGCTACGATTTCAAGAATCTCGACCTCATGGTGAGTTGCGTTTGTGCGCTTCGCGTGGACTGTCTAATCGTATTGCAGGGGTCACGATATAAGGTGTGCGGAGTGAGTACCGAAGTGATTTTCATGCGCAGAGACTGGACTGAGCTCTCAGCTATCGGGATGTGGTAAAGGCGCAGCTCGGCAATTACTTGCTCACTCTACTGCTGGAGGAAGAGCCTGCACGAGAGGAAGCACGGGACAGCCCCTCCCTCGATGTTGCGGATCCACGAACTATGAATTATAAGTCCATTGCGCTAAACATTAACACCACGGCAGAACCTCAGGAATGTGGAATTCCCACAGTTAGATGCTAAGGGCCACGTTCTGCAAGTCACCACGGATATTTGTTTGAGCAGGAAGACCCCGTGGTTATATAATGAATGTTGTATCGATTCGCACAGTGTTTGAACAAGGACCGATTTCGACCACAATCCTAAAAAAAAAACATGTTAAGTTTACGTTTATTGAACATAGTTGGGGCCTGAACATGGCACAGTGGTCTGTCCTTGCAAATCCAGTAACGTATTCAGCCCGATGCGGGTCATACTTCACCAGGCTGGTCAGTGCGGTCCGGTGAAGACGAGCGGCATCGAAGTGAGGTGCAACAGGAAACGTTTGGTGCACTGCCCTCTGATGCCCGACAGCTGCCAAGACGTGGCAGCAGCACGGGACGCCCTGTCAATCATCAATCGTAGCTTCAGAGAGCTGCCATGCGCTATCGGGAACATTCCCGTATATTTTGGTCATAAGGCCAATACAGTCAGTACAGTATGGATACATTCCTGTGCCTAAGGGTCATCAGAGTCCACTTTGCAACGTTCAAGTGCGTTTGTCATGCTGAGGAGCCAGACACTTGAATGATAACAATTAGAGGTTATGGTCCTTAATGGTCACTACTTTCAAGCAAGGTCGAGTGCCGCTGATGTTTAACTCAAGCGGAGACACGCGTGTGAAGATAATGGGGAGTGTTGCTTTGTATCTGATATTGACAACCTGTCGCTTACGCTGCGGAACAGGGATATAGTGTATAGCGGATTGTATAATAATAAATAGTATAAAATTTTAATGTTTAATACAATGTACAAGGTAATACATGGTGTCGTAGTTGTATGGTGAATATGCAGCAGTGTGGTGTGCAGTAGGGTGGATAGAATAATACATAGTGTAATATTACATAAATATGCAAAAAATCCTCTTGATATGCAAATTATTTTGTCAAGGCACTCTTCCTCCTCCCTCCCAGCTTAGATAGATGCTCCAAGCCCAGGACGTGTCATTCAGACTCTGTCTTATCGACAGACCATGTTCTTCACCTGAGGACGGCTGCTTGCGTTGTGGCCGAAACGTCGTGAGAATTATTTTATTATGTTTTATTTTTATTATTTTATTATTTCCATTCTACGTGACGTTACCGAAAGAACCAAGAAGAAGAGTGATACAGTGGTTCGCTTAAACTATTAATCCGACGGCCCGAGTTCGATTCCCGAGCACGGCTAACATCAGTGGCGAGTGATATCAGAATTGCTCCACTGCCCTCCAGCTCCACCAAGCCATACTGAGCAGCGTGGTGAAGTATGGTCAAAGAACTCCCCGTGCCCGGACATGAGGCCTTCATCCATTTGTGGATTTAGAATTAAAGAGGAGTTTTAATCGTTTATATGACCTCCATCTGTTGATGTGCAGTACAGTAAATGTCCCATTGCTCACAGTGTGTTATGCAGTACTTATCTCAGATGATTTAGTGGTAGAAACTTCACAATAATTGCCTTTTTTTCCCCTAGTGCCATTCCAATTGTGCTATCGGTGGTGCCGTAACGCAAGCCAGCAAAGCACCCATTAAACTCTCACAGAACCCAGATTCAAACCCAATATTTCAGCAGTTGTCGGCTCAACGATCTGACCGCTGAACCACCCTGCCTCGACCGCAAAATCTTTATGATTGAGAGGGGGTCAAATACTTATTTCCCTCATTAAAATGCAATTCAATTCATACAAATTTTTGACATGCGCTTTTCTGGATGTTTTTGTTGTTATTCTGTCTCTCACTGTTCAAATAAACCTACCATTAAAATTATATACTGATCATTTCTCTGTCAGTGGGCAAACGTTCAAAATCAGCAGGGGATCAAATACTTTTTTCCCTCACTGTAGGTGAGAACCAGAAAGCTACCCTTCAGGGTTGTGCTGCACCCTCGGCAGCTAAGTGCTTATTTTACTGACCTTGGAGGAATGACAATGACGGTGACAGAGCCGTCAGTAGGGACCCAATGATTCACTTCCCTGTATTATATTCAAATTGTGGTGAGGATAATAGCGCACACACAGTGGCCGCCTCTGCCCCTCTAGAAGGGGGCTCTAGAGAGCTTCCTTTCGTGCAGTCCCTTCTGCCAGCAGTGCGTGTGAACGAAGCAATTGCAGGGCTGCACCCTTGCTTTCTACTAACAGCGGCTGCAAGGGGGCGTTACGTGAACCAATTACATACAACGTGTATATGTACAGCCCTTTGTCAATCCACAATTGAACGAGGGTGGGGGGACTTTCTACACACACCACGTGGTTCGTTGGCATTATTTGACGTCCGTTTCAGCACGCTGGTCCGTGCGGGATGATGAAGGCGGGGCGGGGGTGCGTTAATGTCTAGGGCAGCATAGAAGTGCAGTACAACAGTGGATTTTGTTGCACTGTCCGCAACATACAATAATTATCGTGTAGACCATATCGATTCTTAAACATGAGTGATTGGACACGGGTAATTGTAATCTTTAAGAATTTACATTAATCGATGGAACGGCGCGCTCACTCGTGAGGCTTTAGCCCGTGATGCCAATAATAGAAGCCGTTCTGCTCTAGCAATTAGAGCAATTAAGCTGTATCCTGGCCATCTGCTAATGATAGCCTGTACTCTGCTGATGATGATATACTTCCCTTCATTAGTATTATTATTGCTAAGAGTGGGCGTTTGAGAGCGGGATTTGTCGAGTTAGAGCTCACAGAATTCGAGTCCCGAGAATGCACGTTGCAGATGTTCCTTGAGTTCAAGTTAGAGTGGCGTAATTATCAACTGAAGTGCATTACATGCGTTCGTGACCCTGAGCTGGTGATTAAAATTCCACATTCCCATGGCAGGGAAAGCCACTTCATATTGCATTCATATTACACTGCACAATACAATTTATATTGGTAGAGCTTATAAATGTGAGCGCATCTCAATGTGCTGCACAGAAACGGTTTGGTTATATTTGTTATAGAAAGAGGCAATCGGTCATGGGTAGAGGTGTAATCAGAAAGAACATCTTAGGCCTGGACTTGGAACAGTGGCAGGGAGTCAGTAGCACAGACGACTATGGGAAGGGAATTCCCAGACCATGCAGGCAGCAGACATCAATGAGTGACCTCCCACTGGGCGAAGGTTAACCGTGGGCTTGACAAGCTTCAGCATGAGTTGGTACAATAAAAACCCCAAAAATAGACTCATCAGCTGCGTCAGTGGCTCATCAGAGGAAAGAGGAAAGGGCAGTGTTTTTTAATTTCCTCTGCCATTGAATTTCACGATTCAATTCCCTTTCGTCTCTTTTTCTCCAGCCTCGTGTATTGTTTCTCTGTTTTTTTTTAGATCTCGTTTGTACAATTGTTTTTACACCCCATGTGCCTAAATGTAATATTAGCATATTACAGTACTTGCATATCCATCACCATTGTCAGCAGCAGCAGCCATGGTCAATCCACTGCTGGATGAAGGCCTGCCCAGGCTGTCACCATATCCCACAATCCCGCGGTGCAATAAATAAATACATCATGTTGATACGTACTGAACGATCCGGTGCATGTATCCTGCAAGAATCAATATGAATCTATTTATCGCAAGTGTCATCGTATCCCCTGCGCATCACTGCTGAGCATTCAAAGTATCCCCCACACCAATTCTAACACCCATCTCCACCACTCTCCCCTCCACTCACCGACCCTGCACTTCAGCAAGTCATGATGATTTAATTGGCAGCTGTAAACGCCCTAAGCCTGTAGCCGTGAGACGCTGACGCATGTTTATTCATAACGACGCCAAATTAGGCAGAATCTGTGGCTCAGACGCTGTGGACCAAGAGAAAGACATAAAACACGTGTCTCCATGTGGAGTTGTGCATCGTTTTATGTTTTCGCACGCACTTGAAATGTTACGGCTGTGTGGAGTTACGCGGTTGTGCTGCTGTACAGCACTCCGATGTGTTTTTGGGTTGTGCCGCGTCTCGTTCAGCACGATGGCCGACGTTTCGCACCACATTATGGCCGCTTTTATGCTTCTTCACGTTCCTAAAGAGAAGCACCCGCCACACGGAGCGAAACGCCAAAGGACAACACGTGGCATGACCCGAAAACGCATCATAATTATTTTAGTAGACAGAATACATAGATGCATAATTAATATTTCCCCGCATGGGATGCCTTTGTAACTCACAAACGCTTCGGTTGCCACTTATGGGCTTCATTTTGCCTTATTAACTTCATTGTGACGGCTGTCGACGAACAATAACGCCTGTGAGTGGTGATCGGGGGTAAAACAAAACGCAAAGTAGAAAGCGCTTCGCCGCCAATGAGCCGTGCCCCTTGTGTAACGATTCACGCATTTTGATCACTGGGCTCCCCAGGGGGCCAGCCATGAAAGTTTCCGTGGCCACCACCCAATTGCCCTGGTGTCACCAGCACGCGTGTGCGCGTGTGTGCGTGAATGTGTGTGTGGATCGGTGTGGGGAGCGGTAGTGTAGCGGTTAGCACGCTGCGCTATGATCCTGGCGACCCGGGTTCGATTCCCGCTCACGGCTAACACCAGTGACGATTATCTGAACCGGTCCTGGGCTTCCCCTAGGTCGACTCAGCCTGAAATGAGTACCTGGTGCGGTGTGTAAACATCGCCACTGGGGAAACAAAGGCGGTCGGGCGTGGTGCTAGCCACCCACCCCCTCATTCGTGTACCGATCCGGCCTTTATAGGTGCTC